CAGTGTAACCCCGCGGGACGGGTGACGTTGACCGCGCGTAGCCGGGAGGTTCTTGTCGTCCGGAAGCGTCGCTGGGGAACAGTGGCAAGGAAGGATCAACTGGAGAGACAGGGGCTTGACGACTGTTAGGCCCTTGATCATGGCCGTGCACATCGAGGTTTTGACGGTTGATACTGGCTCCGTTGCCGCTGGAGAAGGAGCCGTTGTCATCATCAAATGGACTAGACTTGTAGGATCCAGTCTTGACATCGCCGCGGGCAGCGGCACCCAGGGCATCCAACTCAGTCGTCAGCTGGCCCTGGGACTTGATGAAAGAGCCACGGTCGTCCCTCATGGGCTGGTACCGCATATCCGGGTTCTTCGACACGATGGCATAGATGGAAGCGATCAACACGAGGAGTAAGAGAATCAGAGCAAATACGGCATTGATCACGAAGAAGACAACACCCATGACACCTGTTACCAGGCCAGGTTGGTTGAAAACTTCAGAGAAGAAGAGAAGGAAGATGACGTTGAGGAAGTTCACGGCAGCGATGGAGATATTATAGATGTTGGTCTTCTTGTCCATCCATGGCCGCAGAACACTGACGGCAATCAACATACCGGCCTCAAGAATAACCAAGGCAACAGTCATCACAACTGGCGCTTCTTGACTCAGGCCGATAAACATGCCTTTAACCAGGATGTAGCCTAGAACTGGGATGACAAAATAGTATGCAGTCGCGCGGTATTGCACATACAAGAATCCCCACTTGTTCAGACATGTAGGGTCAGAGTAGAGGATGTATGCAGGGTTTTTGTGCATGGTAATGGAACGCTTTGCCAGAAGGATGACCTTGAAGGCAGCCCACCCCAGAGCCGCGAGAATCGAAAAGAACATGATCACAGCCAAGACAACCTCAGCTGCAGAGTCATGCTGGGTAAATTCCCACAAACAGAGGACGGTCATCTGAGGGAAACCAATCAAAGTAAGTCGGAACAAAATACCACGGGCGACGATCTTCCAACCGTTACGGAAATCTTGGAACTTATCAGTCTTCATCTTGCCGTTCTTAGCAAGGACCTCACAGCCGGCCTTGAAGAGCGACACGAGGATCATCACCACAGCCACGAAGAAAACGAAGAAGATAAGACCAGTCAGGAAAATATTAGTCGCCTCAATCCCGGCCTTGAAACCAACTCGCTTAATACCGCGGACAACAAGATTCTCGGTGTTGGCTGTCTCGGATTCGGCACCGGAACGCTTCAATATGTCTGATGCCTTCTTGACTAAACCCGTTGCTTCGTCGAGAGTTCGCTTTTTGAGCACTTGCACAGACGTTGTCGAGAGCTCGGAAAGGGTTGTTGAAGGCGTTCCTCCCGTCGATCTTTGATACCAGGTACAAATGCTTTCCAGGAACCCAATATGGATGATACCCATACTCCACTGGAAGTTTTGGGTCCACGCCTCAACGATCGGGGGCATATGAACAGATGTCATACCGATCATGGCCTGGGATTGCATAAAGCTGAAAAGTGACAGTGCATTGGCCGCCACGTGCGCGGCGGTGTTTGAATGTCCTAAGCCAGAAGTGATAGCAGAAGCAGCTAAACCTAACCCAGAGATTATGGCTGTTGACCAGCCGACTCCTTTTTGGTAAACCGTCTTGCCATTTGATAAAGAAGCCTCAACGCACGCGATGCTTTCGCCAGTATCAGTGGAGTTGATGTAAATACGGACGGAAGCATCGAGATCGGGAACCGTATATGCAATGCCTACGTGATCACGTTAGCGACAATGACCGTCCCCAAGCATAAAGTTGGTACCCACCTGGGATACTATTTACGACATCTTGCGGAACATCAATCTGAGCCTTCGGAACATCGATAGGTCCGGCACTCATAGGGCATAGACCCCCAATGTTCATCTCGCAGGGGTCGAGTTCTCTTTTAAGCGCGGTGTAGCCATACGCATCAAGCACGATTTCCGCCTTGACTTTACCCGAGATTGCAGCGACTCCATCGAAACTGAAGACCAACGACCTGTTGTTCGGCGTGAACGTTACTTTGAAAAGGGTTGCTGTGAAGTTCGAACTATCTTGGCATAGGTTAAGCGCATTGGATTCGATCAGGTTGGTCGCAGCTACTAGTGGTGCGCTGATAAAGGCGAGCAGAAGAGTGGACAGAAGCGCCTTGAACCGCATTTTCGTGATAGGATTACCGACTTCAACTCCTCCGGTAGGTAGCGAATGTAATTTTTATGGATTATGAGCGAGAGAATAGGGTGACACCAGAAGCGAGATAGAATAGGTGGTACTCCAGAGCACCAGCTTGGGACCGGCCGGATGCGGAAGTCTCACGGTACACTGGGTCGTAATCTTGTGCCAAGTCGTCTAAAAGCGAGAGCGAGGAAGGAGGTATCCAAAATGGCGGAAGGTAAAAATTATTGTAAAATATTTCCTATATTGGTTACAACTTCACGTCATTGAAGTATCACTGGGCGGTAAATGGATGACCACAGCGACTGCTCATTCAAAAGCACAAGAGAAGGACGAGGGTAGGAGAGAGAAAAAAAAATATGTAAATAAAAGAAGGCACCAAATAAGCGAATGATAAAGAATGGAATGGGTTAACGAGTGTTAGATAGTCGGGGGGGAGTTGTAGAGAGTTTGAATGGTACAATAAAGCGAGCGGGACGGCGACACACAGTATAGCCTTGAAGGGGTCGAGACCAGGGGAGACGGATGGTTGCCTGAGTCTCCCAGAAACGGAGAGGAGACCGTTCTCACTCGAATTGACGAGGAGAGATTCGGAGGGGGGTGGAGGAAACGAGCGAAAGGGGAGAAGGTGTAGCAAAAAAAGGAAAAGAGAAAAGAAGAAGATGAAGAGATGAAGATGGCCTCTCTCTTGTCTCCTTCAGGCGACGATATTTCTTCAGGGGAGAGAATCAAAGCCGCTGAGCCCCGGTTGGAGGAGAGACGGTCGGAATGCTCGTGAAACACCTGACGCTGAGACCCTGACTCAGCACGGGGGGTGATTTAGGACGTCGGGGCCAATCACAGGCGGCGTAGCGATGGTCTGAAGAATGGATTTTCCTCGCCCTTGACCACACTCGTAGTAGCAACAACGAAACTAAAGTATGCGTGTCTGTGTCTGGAAGCACAACACTTCTGACATCAACCAGTTGGGCTCGAAAGAAACGAAGGGGTGAAATATGGGGAAGCCCGGGAGGGGAATGAAAAAAGAAGAAAAGAGAAAATTAAAACCTAAAAATCTGGAAAAAAACAACCAAGAAAATGAGAATGATGCCAACACCAAATTGACTATTCCTACTACCACCCTGCCGACAACCTGGCCATCTTCCCTACAAATTAACTCGGCTTTCGCTCTAAAGGGAAGCTCTCTTTTCCACTTTTACGTTTTCTCAGTACCAGTCGGCGCACGCGCGTCTCTCAGGGGGGGGTTGGTTCTGGGCCCGCATGCGGATGGTTATGCTCATTGCCCACGGTTCATACCTCTGATTTGCTCACCACTACCGGCCAAGAGAACCTAGTTAGCGCCTGCGAAAAGGCTGGGAATGATCCCAAGACCACACCAGAGGATTGCGAGATTACAACCATGACTTGATCTGGTGGAGTTGCCTCTCCAGATACGACACCGCAAGAGGTAAAGAAAAAAAAAGCCAACTACGGAGTACACGGTAGTATGATCTGTGGATCTTCTTGCCGCTCGTCTTACCCTAATTACTTGCGTTCGGATGCTGAGGATAGCCGCCGTTCATCCCCATCCTGTCAATGAACACATCGACTCTGGAGTACTTGGCGACTTTTTTTTTGAATTTTGATTCCTTGCCTTATCTTTCTGCCTACTGACACCCTTTGCGCTTCGTAGGCTGGGGACTGCTGCTTCATGGCTTTCTATTAATAACTGACTACATGATATCTCACAATGTATGGATGTACTGCATGTCCACAGGTGCATACTGCTTGACCCACCAGCCATTATTGGCCCTGCAAGAGCTCCAATGAAAGTACCATCGCATATGCACTCCATACCCTATATGCTCATAACGTGGTTTTATTTTCTATCGAAACTGTCAACCATTCACACCTCATGGTGATCTCCCAGTCTATGTAATATACGTAGTGAACAGTATGTCAATCCCAAGAGGCGGGTCTCCGCAGTTCTTGTCGCCGTGCTCCGTGTTCGTTTGCTCTACCAAACGGGTTTCTCCTCTTTCTTTTTCTTCTTTAATTACACAACTCGGCTAGCGTTGAGATTACCAAGAAGGTTACAGACTAAGTGGCATTCTGTTCGTTAGTCTACAATGCACAGCCCCTCCCATTCAAAAACAAGGGCAATCAGGTTGCCCTTCGAATAACTCCCAAGTCTCATAGAACGGCAAACTCGGTAATTAAATTGTCTTGGGCGTCAATTCATCCATTGTAAATTCTATGAGAATGGGAACAACAATCACCACAAGTGTCTTTTGAATATAGATAAAATTCCGGGAATGGAAAGTTCCCCTCCTCCATCCCTGAGGTGATCAGCATTGATCACCGTTGTCGCTGCCATCATCGGAATGCGTGTCATGACGTCTTGACCCCATCGGATCCTCATGATCTGATGCGTCCCTGGGGCACGCGGTGAGTTTGCACTGTATTTTCCCCTGTATTTCCTGGTTCATGAAATTCTTGAAAAGTGAATGAATCATGACCAGGAATTAGTAGGGAAGGTCTTGACGATTTCTCAACCATGGGCGGCAGGCGCTTCCTATTTTTAGCACCAGGTCTTTCTGAACCCAGACCGTGAAGACTTTTCCTGTCATGCGTGTCAAGCTTAACCACTGGCTTCACCATTTTCCTCATTAGTGGTCCTGTTTCATATCCAGTCCCTATTAATCTAGTTGAAATATATTACTAGCCTTCTATATGAGTGGCTCGGAATCTCGTTTCAGATAAGCCAACTGGTGGATAACATATATTGTAACTGCCTAACCAGACTCCCTGGGAACAGCTCAGCTAGAGCAACCAGTTCATCTCTTCCTTTGCCGCCAGAGAGTCGGCGGTGTCCTTGGCATTATCAACACTCATCAACTCAGGAAACACCGATTCACCATTGTCCTCGTGGCGCACATAATATGCCAGGTCGCTTCCAGGTTGTAAGTGCGTTTGACTGAATCCATTCCCTAGATAGGCGAACCGGTTCTTTGTCGCGTATGTGACGTGGAAATCCTCGAACCGCTGAACGGCTAGGGCTTCTATATAGCTCAGTCCGCTCCCAGGCCATAGTCCACTGACCTTACCGGTATTGGCATTTTTAAACCAAGATCGACAGTCGCTCTCCCAGACTGTGCTCTTCATGAATAAGTCCTTCTGCTCCATGAAGTCATCGACCGCTTCTACCTTAGGCTCGAACGTGCGGATGTCTTCTTTCTGCCACCGATTGAGAAACCTAGCGATATAGTGTCCCTGCGCCTCGATGCAAATGATGACGGGTGAATTGGCCAGGGGGCTGTTAGGGCCAAGTAACATGAAGTAGTTCGGAAAACCGTGGGCCGCGACTCCCAGGTAACTTCGAGGTTCCTTTTCCCATGCTTCGGCAAGATTGGTGTCATCGCGACCTATTAATGGAAACGCGGGTCGAAAGCTGGTGTGGAAGCCTGTGGCACAAACCAAAACATCAAATGCATACTCGCTGCCGTCTAGCATTATGCCGCCAGACGGTATTATCTTCTTAATATTCCCAATGACAGGCGTGACGTTGGGCTTTTGGAGGCTTCCTAGGTATTCCGTACTGGGCTATAACGCTGTTAGTAGGATATGCTGCTGGCGAGGTAGGATATCAGACTGTAAGGCGACGACATCCTAGTGGATGTCCTGGAATCAGCTTTTCTGCAAGCCTATCATCACCAATCGCATCTTTCATTAATTGTTTCGACCATTGGGTGGCTGCTTTTTGGGGCACCGTGTCTTTAAGGAAGAGGGGCAAAAAGGTCGCATAGTTGGCCTCGATATCTTTCCGTAGCCGGAGCAGTTCTCTGGGATTATCTTGAAACGTCTGCTTCTCTTCATCTGTGTAACTGCGTTTTTGGTATCTCAATTTTGGTATCACCCAAGTCGGTCTGCGCATGAAGGCTATGACATGCTCTGCAGTTCTTATTGGCGCTGTTAGAGATGTGACGTACAAGGATAGCCTAACTTACCTTTGAAGCTCAGGAAGCAACTGTATACCGGAAGACCTAGCAAACTCAGTAACTTGGGGTCTTGAGCAGCAAGAAGCAACTAGCCTTACCCATTCCCAATCAACCCGACCCGCTTTCCAGTCAACGACAAAGATTCATCCCAATTTGCGGTATGGAGCAGCATTCCTTTGAATGATCCAAGACCTGGTGTGGAAGGCCAACGCCGGGAGTTTAAATAGCCAGTGGCATTTATTAGGAAGTCGCACCTTTTCTCAAAGATTTCCTTGTTGGCATTCTCAACTCGAACCTTCCATTGTGAGTTTGCATCATCCCAATTCGCACCCACCACCCGATGGTTGCAATTGATAAAATCGCGAAGACCATGTTTGTCCGCAAACCCAGAGAAGTAGCTATGGACCTCCGGGGCTGATGCGTAACTAGCTGACCAGTCCCACTTAGGCTCGAAGGAGTAAGTGTACATGTGCCTGTTGAATAAGTTCTCTCTTCTGCCATGAAGTATATGATCCACTCACGATGGGACGTCACAGGTACCTGAGCCTGGTTATCAGATTTTCTTACTTGCCTCCTCGAGGATAAATACTCACATCCGGGATATCGATTCTCAAACCAAGTTCCCCCGATATCTTCATTCTTCTCATACACTTCCAGCGTATAGTCCGTAAATGATGTCTTAAGCATATATGCAAGATATAATCCTGACGGCCCTGCTCCGATGCAGATAACGCGCATCATGCGATTGGCATGGATGGGCTTATCACGACGATTCTCCATAATTGGTCATATAATATCGCTGTGATCTAAGATGCTTGTAACGAGAAACGATAATCTCGAGAAAACACTCCCTTTACTCATCATTATTTGTATTCAGATACGCTCTTCCACGTGGTCACAGTATGATGTAATATCTTGGTATAGGACTTCTCCATTCTTGTTTTTTCGTCCCTATAAACAAGGAAGTATTGTAAGATGAAGCTAATAGCAAGCACATCAAGCATAGTATACGTTACTAACTATCCAGTACCTTTACTAACACTTGATTTTGAACTTGGTGAATCTGCTGTTCATTCCTGGGTAAGCCCAGCTATGAGAGTTCTCAGGATCCTCCAAATCAGTCAGAAATCATAGAAAGTAATCAGTACGATATATGTATATAGAAGCTCTTAAAAGGGTATTTCATTAATCTAATTGGGAGAATCCCATTGATCTGCACGATGCTGTTCCCCACTGCTCAGGGCAATATGATGCTACTTCTTCATACGGAATAGCGCCATTGCCAAGTAGGGGTAATTTCTGCCTCAGTAGCGTGGCTCATAATCTTCAGACCGCCCAGCTATCAATGGCTATCAGCACGTGATGCGGGAAGTTTGACCAGGCAATATTTTCGCTCCGCAAAAAATTGTCTTCCGCCGAGAAAAAAAAAAAAAAGGCTCCGCATCTCACGTTTTTCATTTGGCAAGTTTTCCAGGAAACCCCCCCTGGAGGAATTTACGCCAAAATGCCGATTCCTGTGGATAACGCTCAATCTATCTCGAAGAAGCGCAAGAGAAAGCATGGTGGAAATGCGCGCAAGGAAGAGGCTGCTGCCCCGGCTACAACTGAAGCCGTGACCGATTCTCCCGCAAAGGAGGAAGTTACCGTCGATAAGAAGAAGGCGAAGAAAGAAAAGTCCAAAAAGCAGAAGGTCGAACACATGTCTAGTGATGACGAGAAGAAAGATGCGGAGGAATCTGAGCAGGAGGCCTCTGACAATGAAGAGGAGAAGAGCGATGCTGAAGAGACACCCGCCGTCGACGGTGAGGATCTGCCTTCTGCGGATACAATCCGTCTGCCCCAGCAGGATGGCGACCCGGTGAAGTTCACGGAGCTGGGATTGTCAGAGAAGACTATGAAGGGTATCGAGGGAATGGGATTCGAGACGATGACGGAAGTCCAACGGCGTACAATTCCTCCTCTGCTTGCTGGTCGCGATGTCCTCGGTGCTGCAAAGACTGGTTCCGGAAAGACCTTGTCCTTCTTGATTCCTGCCATTGAAATGCTTAGCGCTCTACGATTCAAGCCGAGAAACGGTATGTACTGCGCATTCTCATGTGGTTCCACAGTTTGTATACTAATTTGTGTGTGTTTTGGTTAGGTACTGGTGCCATTATTGTCAGTCCAACTCGCGAGCTTGCACTTCAGATTTTCGGTCAAGTTAGGGAACTCTTGGCGCATCACAGCCAGACCTACGGTATTGTCATCGGAGGTGCAAACAGGAGAGCCGAGGCGGAGAAGCTCATGAAGGGTGTTAACCTTCTCGTGGCAACACCTGGACGTCTGCTCGATCATCTTCAGAATACGCAAGGATTCGTGTTCAAGAACTTGCGCACACTTATCAGTATGACAGCCCTTTCTGGCATTGTGAGTGGATGAATGGAATGACTGACTGTTGACAGTTGACGAGGCGGACCGTATCCTGGAAGTCGGTTTCGAGGATGAAATGCGCCAAATTGCCAAGATCCTTCCTTCTGAGAACAGACAAACCATGCTGTTCTCCGCGACGCAGACTACCAAGGTTGAAGATTTGGCTCGAATCTCTCTCAGACCTGGCCCTCTCTACATCAACGTCGACCATCGCAAGGAGCACAGTACCGTTGAGGGACTGGAGCAAGGCTATGTCATCTGTGAAGCTGACAAGCGTTTCTTGCTCCTGTTCTCTTTCCTCAAGCGCAACCTTAAGAAGAAGATCATCGTTTTCCTGAGCAGCTGCAACTCTGTCAAGTACTACGGTGAATTACTCAACGTAAGTATATCCAATATTGTGAGCTAAGGTTCGTAGCTAACGCCACGGAACTATAGTATATCGATCTCCCTGTGCTTGACCTGCACGGAAAGCAGAAGCAGCAGAAGCGGACCAACACATTCTTCGAGTTCTGCAATGCTAAGCAGGGAACTCTGATCTGTACTGACGTTGCCGCCCGAGGCTTAGATGTATGTCAAGTGCCTCCCTGCCCTTATGTCTGTCTCTGTTACACCTGTCTAACTTGCTCAAGATTCCCGCCGTGGACTGGATTATCCAGTTCGACCCCCCAGATGACCCTCGTGACTACATTCACCGTGTTGGTCGTACAGCCCGTGGATCTAACGGAAAGGGCCGCAGTCTGATGTTCTTGCAACCCTCTGAAGTAGGGTTCCTGAAGCATCTGAAGGAGGCTCGAGTACCCGTCGTGGAGTTTGACTTCCCGGCTCAGAAGATTGTCAATGTTCAGTCTCAACTGGAGAAGCTCATTGGCCAGAACTACTATTTGAACAAGGTAAGCTTCCCTCATTCAAACATTGTCTCCTGTTCTTATACTCATGCATCCGCAAACAGTCCGCCAAGGAAGGTTACCGCTCCTACCTTCAGGCATATGCCTCCCATTCTCTCCGGTCCGTCTTCGACGTGCACAAGCTCGACCTGGTTAAGGTGTCCAAGGGCTTCGGCTTCTCGACGCCTCCCCGCATCGATATCCAGCTCGGTTCCAGCCTGAAAGACAAACAACCACAGGGCCGACGGAACTACGGCAGCCAGCCCGGCTCGAAGTTCAAGCGCAAGCATAATGATGACTGATTCGATCTAGTAGAGGGAAAAAGCAATTGTCTTGCATGTTTTTTGTCCGTTGGCCTGGAGTTTAACCTGGATCTTTTTTGTTCTATATTATTATCATGGCATATCCTATTTTACTTGCCTCCGTACACCAGCTATGGAATTGTATCTAGATACGTCTTCAAGGAATACCAAAAATCACAGCATTCAACCCTTGTTCGATCCCTTGTCTGGGTCATGTAGGTCATCCATGATGCCTAAGGTAGTACAGTTGGTAATGCGACCGCAGGTGCAGCCATCTATTTCTGTACTTTTTTTTCTTGCAAGGGTGTCATCTCCGGATACGACGTCCCCCGCAGCCAGGGGAGTCTGCGGTTTATTTTGTCTACGAACATACCCTGCACATTTGGTACGATCGTCGGGTCATGAAAACGAAAGACACGAGAAAAACCGGCGTTCCTAGTTCAGAGCGTTGCAGTAACCACATTGGAGCAGTAGCATTTAGATAGCACCTACATTCTATACAACCTACCCCCGGCGACCGAGTTCCGGTTAAATAACGAGGGGACGGTTCAGATAAGGGTCAGCGGAACCAAGGATACAGAGGGTTTCCGTTCCACGGTTCGCGTAAGCAGACAACATACGGAGCACATAAATATACTACTATAATCCTCGGGTAATGGCAGGCACCCGCGCGGCCTGGAAAGGTTGATTCGATGAACGAACGAATACTACCTACTAGTCGATTCGTGGCGAACCGAGCAAGGGCCGGGTGGCTGGGCTGGTGGCTGGGGAGGTTGATCGCCCACCAAGCAAAGTTTTTGTCGGGCGAAAACGAATGGATTAAACTAACGGTTAGTAACTTTGGGGAAAGGATCTCGGACAATCGTGTTTCAATGCTCGATTGGATTGAGAAGAGAAAGTAATAAGGCACGGTGCCTTAGGCACGACTGTATTCTCATTGCGACCAATCAGTGACATGGGATGATGGACTTTTTGTCACAAGGAAGGGATAATGTGATGAGTTGGCAGCGGCAGGGCCAATGGAAGTGGAGGAGGGAGGGTCGCCCGAGAGACTGGACGGAGCGTCTGTCAGGGTGGGTATCAATGCTCGTGGCGGGTCTGCCTAGGTTGACTCTCACTCTCTCCACTTTTGGGGATGATCCCGTCAATGCTGTGATTCTTTCATTCATAGGGTTGCAAAATGATGCTGCTGCTTATTAGGCTGCATTCTTCGTTCCTGGATCAGCGTCTATCTACGTCGAGAGAGGGCCCCAATTGACGGCATAAGAGGCGTTTCATCGGTGCTTTCCTCGATGCCACTTCATACCTACGGGGAAGCGGTCTTGCTCGCTGCCAGTCTTCGTTTCATCTTCATGTTGGAAACCAAGAAGTCCCGACACACCTGTGCAACGGTCATAGGGCCATTGGTAGGGCTCTTGGGGACCGTCCGACAGGCAGAGTCAATTCCCACAGAGGACAGATCACATTCCGGTCACACCACGTTGAGACATGGCCGCCTTCTCGGTGGAATGAACGCCTTCGTGATAGAAGAATGCTAAGAAGGAATGGAAGGCAAAGCGAAGCGGGAAAGAAGGTTTTTTGGGATTTTTATATGAACTTTGAAAGCCCAAGTGACGGAGGGGTTCACGATTAAGAGTCCAATCAAGGTTACTTGCAATGTCAAGGTTGTAGGGAGAGGCCATCCACGTATATGTACTATTTACACAGTAGTATCTGGGGCCGTCTTGCCATGGGGATCATTGGGCGAGAACCCCGATTTCGACCACAGCGTGATTTTCAACTTCCAACCATTAAGAATGGTTGATCGAGTTGCAAACGAGGGAAGATTCGAACAAATAAAAGGGAAGGACTGGAAAAACTAAAATGAGAAAAAAAATAAATAATAAATAATAAAGAATAGTAATAATAATAAATAAAAGGCAAGGCTGGGAAACGATCTTTTCCTTGTCAGATGGGGCTGTTTTGTTGTCCGCCGCTAAACCATCTTTTAGTTCGCCAACTGTCCATCGATCCATCAAGCTATTATTATTATCCACGTTCATTCACTGTCTTTATACCCCTCCGAACCAGCCTTCGCCTTTTTTCCATTTTTCCCAGGACCGCCATTATTCCCACCGCTCAGCAATTATTGTTGTCTTTGCCGATGGTGGCCAGTATCCCACCGTCTGGCTTTTGAATTTTCTTT